TAGTTCTGAGCCACAGGATAAAATCGAAGCTGCCACCACATCTGGTTTAGTTGCTCGTCTTCACTCCCCTCTTGATGCACCTTTTAATTCTACGGAACTGCTTGCTACGCTACGTAATACGCCGTATGGCAAGCCCCCGGACCGGATGAAGTCTGCAGTGAGGCACTGCGACATATTTCGTCAAAGGGCCTTCGATTCCTTCTTCGTTGCATTAACCGCAGCTGGACGACCGGTACGATTCCGGCTGAGTGGAGACGCGCTACCATCGTTCCACTCTTAAAACCCGGCAAGTCGCCGGAACTGCTTGAGTCATATCGACCCATCAGCCTTACCTCCATTGTGAGTAAGGTTGCTGAGAAAATGGTACTGAAGGGATTGCTTTGGGTGTGGACGCCACACCCCCACCAGTATGCATATCGTAGCATGCGTACCACGACGATGCAGCTGGCACACCTGATACACGAAGTGGAGCATAATAGAAATCACTATTTCCAAGTGAGCCTTCCCAAGAAGAGCGGTATTGGCAATCGACTCCACTACAGACCCCATCGGACCCTGCTGGTGTTGGTTGATTTCAGCAAGGCCTTTGACTCCATAGATCATCGAGTCCTCAGTCGCTTGCTGGCTAATATTCCGGGGGTGAATTGTAGAAGGTGGCTTAGAAACTTTCTATGTGGGCGCTACGCGGAGACACGAGTTGGCCACAGACACAGCGATCGGCGGCCCATGCTGCGAGGAGTTCCCCAGGGGTCCGTGCTGGGACCGTATTTGTTCTCCCTTTACGTACACCCACTTCTCAATCTGCTGAACAGCTTTGCGGATGTCACAGCAGACATGTATGCGGACGACCTCTCTATTATCGTCAAGGGCAGTCCCGGGAAGACGCCATTCCCACTGCCAACATGGTTCTTCAAAAGCTGCATGCGTGGAGTCAGGAAAATGGCCTGGCCATCAACCCGTCAAAGCGTGAAGCTGCTTGGTTCACACTCTCCACGCACACGGAGTCAGATTATGATCGTGAAGGAAAGTGGCCGCTGGTAGTGGCTGGATGTCAAATCCCAGTCATGACCATGGGGGCATCGCGAACTACGAAGCTTCTTGGCATGGATCTCGATCCGCGACTGACGCTAAATGCGGCGGCCTCCAAGCAATGCGCTGCCACTTCGCAACGGATATCGCAGCTACGCTGCATAGCGCACAAAGAGGCGGGACCATCTCCAAATGACCTACGCACGTTCGTCATTGGACACGGTGCTTCCAAATTACGCTATGGCAGCGAGCTCATATGGGCAGTAGCGACGGATTCAGCGAAGAATGAGATGCAGAAGACGTACGCAACTCTAGCACGCATTGTCAGCGGAGTTCCGAGCACTGCCGACCCGGAATCCGCACTGCTGGAGGCTAATATGCCGCCGCTCCACGTCCTCTGCCTGCGCGCGGCTCTCCATATTTGAGAACACACGCGCATGTCAGATGGACTGGATGCGGAGACCCCCGCCTGAGCCACCGCCTCGCGCTGGTTTCCGCATCTCGCCATTATCTCGGGACGAGCTATATGCCTTCGTAGACACATACACAAGGGACTATGGCATCACCGAGAGCTCACCACGCGAAGAGCGGTTCTTTCGCAGCTCCATTCCTCCCTGGTTTGCGGCCTCCGCACACCGTGTCACCATCGGTGTGGAACTTCCGATAGACCACTCAATAACTGACGAGGAAGAGCTGATAAGGGAAAAGCGCAGAGTCAGCGAGGAGGCTCTGGCGCTGCACAGCCATCGTTCGTGGATACTTGCGACCGATGGCGGTGTCGACGTTCCCAAGTCAGCAGGGTTGGAATACTGCTTTCATCCCTCAACTCATCGGAGATAATAGAAAAGGCCAGCATAAACTGCGGTGCACGCCCATGCAGCTACAGGACGGAATCCCGTGCGCTGCTCCTGGCTCTTGAAAGGCTGATGATCCCTCGTATCCAGTACAGGCATAAAACCCTGCTTGTGGTTACAGACAGTCAGTCTCTTCTAGCGGCTCTAAACAAGGGCCCGCTCAGTCAGACAGACTGGACGGAGGATCGGATCTGGCAGCGTCTCCTGACACTGACGTGTGCTGGCTGGTCCGTGCGCCTGCAGTTTTGTTACGGACATTGTGGAGTACATGCTAACGAGCCTGCAGATCAGCATGCGACACAGACTATGGCAACCGGACAATACACGGAGCAAGGAGTCGCACATCTATGGCATACGGATCTGCTGACATGTTTTACTGCCCAGCTCACCAACAAGTGGCGTAGTACCATTCGTCAAGACACTCATCGCTACTTGCTTTGCGGCACAAGGCCATCCGATCTCAGCGGTAAGGACCTGACCACTCAGGAAGTTCTACACCGTCAGGAACTGGTTCACCTCGCAAGGGCAAGGTGCGGGGAATCTGAGTTCTGGGGCCGACTATACTGGGCCGTCAGAGATTGCACGAACCAATGCCAATTCTGCAACATCTCACCAGAACAGTCTGCATATATGCGCTCTAACAACGATCCAACTGCACCGGGGACGGACACTGTTCCCCCGACGGCAAGGGAGGAAGACGTCTCTCCAGTAAGGGGACGGACCGTCACACGCCGTCGGAAGGAGAAATGTCCGCACTGTGATTCTATATTGACGGGATTCTCGGGTCTCGTCAGTCACTGTCGGTCATTTCATCCGGAACATCCTCCACCGCTTCCCGAGCTCAAATGTGATTTCTGTGACATGGTTTTCCCCACACGGAGAAGCACCGCACAGCACAGAAGTCGCTGCGCACACAACCCAGACGCCACACGGCATCGAAACAGCAGTGCCAGGAGGCGATCTCTGCTGCCGCAGGATCAGCCAGCCTCCACAAGCACGCCAATTGGCCCGCAGGAAACCTTGCTCCATCTGCTTCTAGAATGTCCAGGCACCTTGGCTGTGCGTCAACGGCTGGGCGTTGAACAGGACCTTCGCCTCGGAAAGTTCTCTCAATGGCAGTTGCTTCATAGCAGGAAACTTTTGTCGTTGCTCGACCACCTCTTCGGCACTCAGATGGCACTGTATAGCTAGACGCGCTGGTGAGAGTAGGAAAAAAAAAAAAAATAGGGCACTCACAGATATAAATGAAAATTCGGCCAAACACACACAAATACAAACAGCAACAACAGAACTGAATAAACAGTCCAGTTCTGAGGCTTTAGAGGACGTGGAACAGCCAAAAGAAGTCCAAATCGAAAAGGACTCAAACAACAATTCACAAACAAACAGCGTTGCCTCCATCGCAGCCAATCAATACAATGAACCATCTGCCGACCATGGAGAATCAGGGCCACCATCACCCACGGCAAACGGTGGTGCCGCCAATAATGAAGCTGACAATAGCACTGAAGAGCGCATGCAGAGCAATCATTCAGCAGCTGATGGTGCAGGGACACGAAAAGAAAAACAAAATGAAAATAAAGATGCCAATCCGAAGGAAGCACCAGTGACGGCCGCAGCCATGAAAACTGCAACGGCGACGACTGGCGACAGGGACAGCAGCACCGCGGTCTCCCACACCACCTCCCCTTTTTTGCTTCTTCTTCTTCTTGCGTGTGCGGCTGCTGCGGTGGTGGCCGCGTGAGAGTGAGGGAGAGAGAGCCGTGCACCGCCCGCACACACACTCGTCCTTCTCTCTGTGTGTGTGTCCCCTTGCATTTGTGCTGCACGTTTGCTCTGCAAGTATACACGCTGACAAACGCACTAGCAGATGCACACGCTACCTTGCGCACGCTTTGGGGCGGCGTGATCGATGAGGACGCACGCACGTACACGATTCTTGTGGCGGCCCTTGCGAGGAGGGATGATGGATGACCGCGATTTGTTTTTCTGTTGCCGTGCTGCGAGCGTAATTTCCTAGGCTTGCTGCCCATGGGCAGCGTCGCATTTTAGTGTTTGTGATTATTACGGATAGGCTTCACACCCGGCAGGTGCACCGTCTGACGTGTTCCTCTCGCTGTTCATGCACCCGCGAAGGATTCTCCGGCTGTGCGGGGCGATGTGCGATGGAGGGTGCGGGGAGAGACAACAGTAAAACGACTGGCGGCAGCGCGTGTGGGCGTTGCTCCGTGTGTGCTGACGCGCGGCAGAAGCACAAGATACTTGCCGTGTCTCCTGCCGGTGGTGATCATCGATGTGTGTTCCCGGTGCACTGTTCTTCCTTCTCGTTCCGTGTGTCTGTGTGCGTGAGTTTTTGTTGTTGGGGGTGACTGCGGCGGGGATGATGGTGCCACTCACCGTGGGTGGGTGGCGGTGTTCACTGTTTCATTCCTTTTTTCTCTTCTCTTCTTCAAACACAAAGAAGGAAAGGAAGTAAGGCTAAACGCTAATCGCTGCTGTGAAATTGTGAGGCACTGAAAGGACCAACAACACACACACCGCCCACACACACATATTTACATGCTCTCACGTGTTGCTGCAGCTGTCATGGCACCCCGCACACAAAACCGTCGCTGCGTGACCGGATCCGGCGGGAGGAGGAGGGAAGGAAGAGAAAGTGAGCCGCAGAGGCCCGACATGTCCCGGCATCTCTTCTGCTCTGCGGTTCTGCTCCTTGTCGTGATGATGTGCTGCGGCAGTGGAGGTGCACAAGCTGTGGGGAAGGAGTCAACAGTTTCAAAGTTTGAATGGAAGGAAATCAAGAGTGTGGATGGTGTAAATTTGGACTCTTTGGGTGCTCCCGGCCTTCTAAAAGTGGGGAGTGATGTGTTTGCCGTTGCCGAGGCGCAGTGCAAAAAGAACGGTGAAAGCAACAGCTTTACTGGCATTGCTTCCCAAATTATCACGAAAGATAATGCTAACACACCGGTGGAAGCGCTGACGGATCAAAAAGATAAGACACAATTTCTGGAGGAAGGTACTTCCGATGACCCAAAGAAGAAAGTGGATGTGAGCCGACCAACAACAGTCGTGGAGGGAAATGATATTTACATGCTTGTTGGGAAATACAGCCGGACAGCTGCTGTTAAAGAGGGTGGCGGTGCAGATGACGTGGGATTATTGCTGGTGAAAGGGAACGTCAGTGACGGAAGTGGTGGTGATAAAAGAATCAAATGGAAAGATAATGACGATGTCTCGCGTATTTCTGTTGGCGAACTAGAATCGTGGTCACGGCTGACTGGCGGCGGGGGATCGGGTATTAAGATGGAGGACGACACGCTTGTGTTCCCCGTGGAAGGCACGAAAAAGGAGGGTGAAAAGGCCGTATCGCTGCTCAAATACTCTTCGGAGGATACTGAGAGTTGGAAGCTGTCGAAGGGGATGTCTGACGGTGGTTGCAGTGATCCCTCCGTCGTGGAGTGGGAGAAGGAAAAACTCATGATGATGACTGCGTGTGATGATGGCCGCCGCAGGGTGTACGAGTCCGGTGACATGGGGGATTCGTGGACGGAGGCACTCGGGACACTCTCGCGCGTGTGGGGCAACAAACAGGGCGAAGGAGCTAAGGGCGTTAGAAGCGGGTTCATCACAGCGACGATTGGCGGTGATGAAAATAACAGAAATGTGATGCTCGTTACTCTGCCGGTGTATGCCGAGAAGGCTGATAAAAAAGGTGAACTCCATCTTTGGCTGACGGACAATACGCACATTGTTGATATTGGGTCGGTATCCGATGATGACGCTGCCGCCAGCTCCCTGCTGTACAAAAGTGCTGGAAGTGGAGATAATAATGATGAGAAGTTGATTGCACTGTACGAGAAGAAGAACGGTGGGAAACCATCACACAGTCTTTGGTCTGTGCTTCTGACTGCGCAGCTGCAGCGTGTGAAGGATGTGCTGGCGACGTGGAAGAAAGTGGACGAAACTGTCTCCAAACTGTGCCTCTCAAGTGCTGAGGAGAGTGCCTCAACTGGCAATGCCCGCAGCACTACTGTTAAGATCACGGATGGGCTGGTTGGCTTTTTGTCCGGCAACTTCTCTGGTAACACATGGAAGGACGAGTACCTCGGAGTGAACGCCACAGTGAAGAAGAAAGATGAAGGGGCTGCAAAGAATACAGAGGATACAGGGGCAACAAAAACTTCCGATGGTGTGAAGTTCCAGGGAGCGTGGGCGGAGTGGCCTGTTGGCGAGCAGGGGGAGAATCAGCTGTACCACTTTGCGAACTACAACTTCACTCTTGTGGCGACGGTGTCCATTGACGGTGAGCCGGAGGAGGGGGGTTCTCCCATTCCTTTGATGGGTGTGAAGATGAATGACAGCGGGAAGACTGTACTCCTGGGACTGTCGTACAACGACGAAAAGAAGTGGAAATTGCTTTGCGGTAGCGGACCGAATTCGGGAGGTCAAAGCGTTACTTTGGCGACGGAGACAACACACCACGTGGTGCTTGTGGTACGGAACAGCACTCAAGGCTCCGCGTATGTCGATGGTAAGCAAGTGGGTGGGGACGAAGCGTGTGCATTGGAGAATATGGATTCAAGAGCGGTATCCCACTTCTACATTGGAGGGGGCGGAGGCAGTGCAGGCGGCGCAGGGAGCGAAGAAGAAGAGATGTCTGTGACTGTGACTAACGTCCTGCTGTACAACCGCCCCTTGAGCTCTGAAGAGATTGGCGCCCTAAACCCGAATAAAGCTTTTATTCCACCTGTGGTGCCTGAAAATGCCCAAGAAACCCAGTCGCAGTCCTCTTCTGCCGGGCAACAGACGTCGGGGCCTAAATTGTTGAATGAAAATGAGGGTGTGGGCGGTGGCAGCACGTCCCCATCAGAACCGTCCACTGTAACGACCTCCTTAGGAAAAGAGCAATCCGAAATTCAGCCGCCTTCAGCAATATCTTCCGGTGGAAGTAAACATGTGGATGTCGCTTCTTCATCCGATGGTGATCCAACGGTGGGAGCGGAAGCTGGAGGTGCTGTGCAGGGAGACACACCACCCCAAACTCCTGTGGATACTCCCGACACAGCAGGTGCAAACGCTCCTACCGCCACGGACACAGCTCAAGTTGGCCCCACAGCTACAACTGGGGTGGGTGCGATCTCTGGTGCGAATGTGGAGACGGCGGAAGGGAGGGATGGGCAGGGAGAGCTCCATGCACGGGACGGCGAAGTAAAGGCTGCGGCACTCAGCAGCAGCCTCGGAAATGTGTCGCAGGGGAATAACAGCGATGCCGGCACTGTGTGTGGGAGCGGACTGCTGCCGCTGCTTCTGCTGTTGGGACTGTGGGGGTTTGCGGCTCTGTGAGGAGTGACTGGCTGCCGCGTGGCCCACTTGCGGCCTTCCCTGCACCGACACACACGGTAATTAATTTATCTTCTTTAATAACCTTTATTTACTTTTCTTCCTTTGCTGTGCGTTTTTATATCCCTTCTTTTTTTTTTTTTTTTGCTTTTGGGGGCAATCACTATGGACGTTTTTTCTTTTCTACTCTTCCCTCTTTAATTGTTTGTTGCTGCACTCTTCCTACGAGGGGTGCCGTGTGTTTCCCGCCCAACTGCTCCACTCGCACACCCACCGACACGCTCATGACGACGGCCCTGTGCGCCTCGCCTGCTGCACGCATGAGGAGGGGCCGCGACGAACGGCGCGCTGAGGGAGCCGTGACGTGTGGGCGTGCGACGAGGGCCTGTGGGGCGGAGCACACATTTCTTTCCCTCTTGTTTTGTTTTCTTGCGGCCAGGGCGGGCAGACACCCGCAGCGCCACACACACAGCCACACCCTGCCGCCGTGTTTTTCTTTAAGGATTTGTTTTGCTTTGCGTGTTTATTTCACGCGGTGGCGCACCCTTCGGTGTCGGCCTCGTGAGCATTTCTCCCCCTCCGATGATTTCTTTTCTTTTGCTGCGCTCACTCTCCCGATGGAGTGACGCGACTCCCGTCATGTCTGCGTGCTTCTCTCAGTCCCCACACACACGAGTGACTGTGCTCTGCGGGCCGCACTCACGCGCCGATGGGAGGGCTGAGGGGAGCAGCAACACGCAGATGACCCCATGAAATATAAACGATGTGCGGACACACGGAGGGTCGGACGGTCGAAGCACACGCAACCATCTTTTTAATTTTATTTGTGGGCAAAATACATGCAGACAGTTTGGTGTGGCCGCACGGCAGCCAGGCGATTTTTTTCTTATTTTTAAATTTGTGTGGAGCAGTAATGGACGATTTCTTTTTATTTATAATTATTTTGTGTGATGGGGTTTACATAAGACGAAGGGGACGTTTTTTTGTTTTCAATAAATATTGTGTTAATTGCCGCTGCTTCGGCTGCAGTGCAGTCATGAGTTTGAGCGGTCTTCTTGTTGTTTCCGTTATGCGTCCCCGCTGTACATTTTTGCGTCCCTCCACATACTCTGCTCCCTCTTTTCTACTTCATTGCTTTGTGTTGCTGCAGGCACACACAATCACACACACACAAGATGCACATTGCAGTGGATTTGAATGCACCTTTTGTGGTGCATGCTGGCAGTTGCGTGTGGCGGCTGTTGTCTTCTTCCGTGGCCATGAGGAGGGGGAGAGGGAGTGCACCCCGAGTCTATTTTCCTGTGGGTGTGATGCACCGCGTGTGACTGCGCTGAGTTGGGCTCCTTGTCCCATTGATGGCGGGATGGCAGGAAATTTTTTACCGCGTGATGGATGGATGAGGGCTCGCTTGCTCCGTGTGCGTTGCGTGGTGGCCGCGGGGTTTTGGCCATTTCCCTGGGGCTGCGGGAATGAGCTGGGGGAGATGGTTGATGTCTTCTCCTCCTGCATGGTGGGTGGCTGCTGGCGTTGTGTGCCTTCCTTGCGTGGATGCCGTCTCGTGGTGTGTGAACTGTGCGGCTGGGCCTGCTGCCCTCTCCGCATGTTGTCTGCGCTCTCTCGCTGTATCCGCTGTGCTCCGTCCCTCTCCCTCTCGTTCCATTCCTTTCCTTTCCGTCTCACCGATCAGCTGACTGACACCAGCGACTCCGCTACGGGCGATGATGACTGCGATGGTGACGGTGCGGCGCCGTGCTGGTCCTTGCGCTCTTGTGCTGCTGCTGCTCGTCCGTGTGCGTGACGGCGACAGGAGACGATAATAATGATAACAGCCGTCCTCCCAGCCCTGAGCTAGGGAAACCGGATCCTACAAAAAAATATGCCTGGTGCATTACAGCCATATGGTGGGGAGACCGGTGTGCCAGAGAGAGAGAGTGGGAGAGACAGCGAGGAGGGTTTGAGAAGTCAAGGACCTTCGTTGCCAAAGGAAGCAGGCACAGCCATCACTGGACAGACACGAGTTCCGCCAGAGTCACTGAGTTCGGCTAGCGATAATCCAGAGCCACCAGGTTTGGCAACTCAGTCTCCACACACACACAAGGTGCGACCGGTATGTCAGATGCACAAAATAAAAGGCGCAGTAAAATACACGAGGCGATGAGGATCATAAGGCACCGATATCAAGTCAGAATATCAAAATGCCAAATATTACCATCAATAAGACTACAACAACGCTCTGGGTCAGCCGACCACCTCAACGTGGTGCCAGGGTGCAGCACTCTTTGCTAGGGATGAAGCTAAGCGCCTGCGGCCCATCCGCTGCGCGCGGAGAGGTGAAAGGCGCCGAACAAGCGGGTCGGAAGGGCACCAGATGGAGCCATTTGTAATGGTTGTCCGCTGAGCGGTATTTCTATCCGCTGCTGAATTCCATCGGCGCTTATCAGCGCTATAAATACCGTTTGCGTGCCGTATGTGACGCGCAACGACAAAAGCTACCGCTAAGCGGAGACATTGAGCAGAACCCAGGCCCCATAGCAGTACTCCAGATGAACGTTTCTTGCCTCACGCCGTCAAAACTCGCAACATTAATGGCGCAAGGAGCAGACATAATAGCCATCCAGGAGACTTGGAAGTCGTCAGAGCAGATCGCCAGCATGCACATTGGAGATTATGTGCTCCATGCACAGTCGCGCATCGGCAAGGGAGGCGGTGTGGCGCTGCTGGTGCGGACAGCTCTCCTCTCCAAGCGTATACCTCTCACCATACCCCAGCATGACACCAGCCTTGAAGTGGTGGTAGTCCAGGTTGCTCTGGACCAGAACCGTGATCTTATTGTCGCGAGTGCCTATATGAGACCACCACCGCAAGCAACGCAATCCTTCAGGCGGTTAGTAAACTGCCTTCCAGCCTCGTCGCCGCTCCTGCTGTGCGGGGATTTCAACATGCATCACCCACAGTGGGAGCCATTCTTGGAGACTTCTCCAAGCGAGGTTGCTGCAGAGTTTTTAGAACTGTGCACGGATGCGGGACTCACCTTGGTTAACACCCCTGGTGGGATCACGTATGCCCGTGGCACAAGAGAACGATCCTGTATCGATCTGACATGGTCAAAGCATCTGACTGTGTCGGATTGGTCAGCTTCCGTGTCGCCGCTTAGTGATCATTATATGCTGACATTTACGCTGCATCAGGCATTTAAGGATACCATACCTTCGGCACCTAAGCTTTTCTACAGGTGGGGGAAGTGCAAGTGGGATTTATTCGTCAAGGACTTCGACGCACAACTTCCGGCATACGACTATAAAAAGCAGTCCACCGGCATTAAGGCTTTCACGAGAGCGCTTATAACTTCGTATCGACGACATTGCCCCCGCGGCATGCACAAGGACGGTCCCAGGCTTTGGGACGACACTCTCATGGAGGCAGAGCGGATTGCTGCCGACAGCAAGGCCCGCTATCTGCATTTACCGACGCCCGACCGTGAGGCCGAAATGCAACGGAAAAGGAGTCAATTCTTCCTCCTACTCCGAGAGCGCTTGCGCAACACGTATCCACGTCGCATCAGCAAGTTAAATCCAGGCGAGCCACTCGCATGGAAATACATTTCCGGACGAAAAAAGGCATCACTTCCATCTCCCACATCAATTTTATTAGGAGATGGTCAACACACTTACAAAACAGCAAGGAGAGCAGCGAATGCTCTCAATCGCATCTTTTTCCATTTCACCCCTCTCACAAGGCAGTAAGGCCTTCCAAAGGCATCAACAGACGGAACACATCCTTGAACATTAATGCTTCTTTTCTTTTTGAGCAGCAGAACAACAGCGAGTCTGCTGCCTCATTTACTTCATTTTCTTCTACTTCTTCTAGCTCCGAGCCGCAGAACAACAACGAGTCTGCCGCTACATTTACTTCAGGTTCTTCACTCTCATCTAGTTCTGAGCCACAGGATAAAAACGAAGCTGCCACCACATCTGGTTTAGTTGCTCATCTTCACTCCCCTCTTGATGCACCTTTTAATCGTACGGAACTGCTTGCTACGCTACGTAATACGCCGTATGGCAAGGCCCCCGGACCGGATGAAGTCTGCAGTGAGGCACTGCGACATATTTCGTCAAAGGGCCTTCGATTCCTTCTTCGTTGCATTAACCGCAGCTGGACGACCGGTACGATTCCGGCTGAGTGGAGACGCGCTACCATCGTTCCACTCTTAAAACCCGGCAAGTCGCCGGAACTGCTTGAGTCATATCGACCCATCAGCCTTACCTCCATTGTGAGTAAGGTTGCTGAGAAAATGGTACTGAAGGGATTGCTTTGGGTGTGGACGCCACACCCCCACCAGTATGCATATCGTAGTGTGCGTACCACGACGATGCAGCCGGCACGCCTGATACACGAAGTGGAGCATAATAGAAATCACTATTTCCAAGTGAGCCTTCCCAAGAAGAGCGGTATTGGCAATCAACTCCACTACAGACCCCATCGGACTCTGCTGGTGTTGGTTGATTTCAGCAAGGCCCTTGACTCCATAGATCATCGAGTCCTCAGTCGCTTGCTGGCTAATATTCCGGGGGTGAATTGTAGAGGGTGGCTTAGAAACTTTCTATTTGGTCGCTATGCGATGACACGAGTTGGCCACAGACACAGCGATCGGTGTCCCATGCTGCGAGGAGTTCCTCAGGGGTCCGTGCTGGGACCGTATTTGTTCCCCCTTTACGTACACCCACTTCTCAATCTGCTGAACAGCTTTGCGGGTGCCACAGCAGACATGTATGCGGACGACCTCTCTATTATCGTCAAGGGCAGTCCCGGGAAGACGCCATTCCCACTGCCAACATGGTTCCCAAAAGACTGCATGCGTGGAGTCAGGAAAATGGCCTGGCCATCAACCCGTCAAAGCGTGAAGCCGCTTGGTTCACACTCTCCACGCACACGGAGTCCGATTATGATCGTGAAGGAAAGTGGCCCCTGGTAGTGGCTGGATGTCAAATCCCAGTCATGACCATGGGGGCATCGCGAACTACGAAGCTTCTTGGCATGGATCTCGATCCACGACTGACGCTAAATGTGTTGGCCACCAAGCAATGCGCTGCCACTTCGCAACGGATATCGCAGCCACGCTGCATAGCGCACAAAGAGGCGGGACCATCTCCACATGACCTACGCACGTTCGTCATTGGATACGGTGCTCCAAATTACGCTATGGCAGCGAGCTCATATGGGCAGCAGCGACGGATTCAGCGAAGAATGAGATGCAGAAGACGTACGCAACTCTAGCACGCATTGTCAGCGGAGTTCCGAGCACTGTCGACCCGGAATCCGCACTACTGGAGGCTAATATGCCGCCGCTCCACGTCCTTTGCCTGCGCGCGCGGCTCTCCATATTTGAGCACACACGCGCATGTCAGATGGACTGGATGCGGAGACCCCCGCCTGAGCCACCGCCTCGCGCCGGTTTCCGCATCTCGCCATTGTCTCGGGACGAGCTATATGCCTTCGTAGACGCATACGCAAAGGACTATGGCATCACCGAGAGCTCACCACGCGAAGAGCGGTTCTTTCACAGCTCCATTCCTCCCTGGTTTGCGGCCTCCGCTCACCGTGTCACCATCGCTGTGGAACTTCCGATAGACCACTCAATAACTGACGAGGAAGAGCTGATAAGGAGAAGCGCAGAGTCAGCGAAGAGGCTCTAGCGCTGCACAGCCATCGTCGTGGATACTTGCGACCGATGGCGGTGTCGACGTTCCCAAGTCAGCAGGGGTTGGAATACTGCTTTCATCCCTCAACTCATCGGAGATAATAGAAAAGGCCAGCATAAACTGCGGTGCACGCCCATGCAGCTACAGGACGGAATCCCGTGCGCTGCTTCTAGTCCTAGAGAAGCTGATGATCCCTCGTATCCGCCACAGGCATAAAACCCTGCTTGTGGTTACGGACAGTCAGTCTCTTCTAGCGGCTCTAAACAAGGGCCCGCTCAGTCAGACAGACTGGACGGAGGATCAGATCTGGCAGCGTCTATTAACACTGACGTGTGCTGGCTGGTCCGTGCACCTGCAGTTTTGTTACGGACATTGCGGAGTACATGCTAACGAGCTTGCTGATCAGTATGCGACGCAGGCTATGGCAACCGGACAATACACGGAGCAAGGAATCGCACCTTTATGGCATACGGATCTGCTGACATGTTTTACTACCCAGCTCACCAACAAGTGGCGTAGTACCATTCGTCAAGACACTCATCGCTACTTGCTTTGCGGCACAAGGCCATCCGATCTCAGCGGTAAGGACCTGATCACTCAGGAAGTCCTACACCGTCAGGAACTGGTTCACCTCGCAAGGGCAAGGTGCGGGGAATCTGAGCTCTGGGGCCGACTATACTGGGCCGTGAGAGATTGCACAAACCAATGCCGATTCTGCAACATCTCACCGGAACAGTCTGCATATATGCGCCCCAACAACGATCCAACTGCACCGGGGACGGACACTGTTCCCCCGTCGGCGAGGGAGGAAGACGTCTCTCCAGTAAGAGGACGGACCGTCACACGCCGTCGGAAGAAGAAATGTCCGCACTGTGATTCTACATTGACGGGATTCTCGGGCCTCGTCAGTCACTGTCGGTCATTTCATCCGGAACATCCCCCACCGCTTCCCGAACTCAAATGCTATTTTTTTGATATGGACTTTCCCACACGGAGAAGCACCGCACAGCACAGAAGTCGCTGCGCACACAACCCAGACGCCACTCGGCATCGGAACAGCAGTGCCAGGAGGCGATCTCTGCTGCCGCAGGATCAGCCA